TCAGTATTCACTGAGAGACAGAGGTGAGATCAGAGCTAGTGTGTGTCTCCCTCTGCTGGCAGACCTGTGTAACACACACACACACTCTCTCTCTCTCTCTCTCTCTCTCTCACACACACACACACACACACACTTTCACTCACACACACACACTCTCACTCTCACTCTCTCTCACTCTCTCTCACACACACTCTCTCGCTCTCTCTCTCACTCACTCACACACACACACACACACACACACACTCTCTCTCGCATACATCAGTGTTCACTGAGAGACAGAGGTGAGATCAGAGCTAGTGTGCTGGATACTGCTATCCATTTTTCATGATTATGAGAGTAAATTAAATTAATTTGCTTTGGTAATAAATACTAGTGTGAAATATCAAGCAAAATCAGAATGTTTTCGTCACTGAAGCTGATGTAATCCAAATCCTCACACATCTAAGTTCCCGCGCCCGTTCTTAGGTTAGAAAGAAAAGAAAAACATTGTGTGTGACAGCTTGTTATCTCGGTGTCACTATGACTGACGCTGGTTTTAAAGGTGAAGCTAATATAAATAATGTGTGCAGCCGTAGGCGAAGGTTAACCAACTCTAGGGACACGCTTCATCATCATCTCAGCATCCCGGACAAAATAACCAAAACAATCCAAGATTTGTATTTAGTACAGTGGCGAGATGAACAAATAAACAGACATCACCTGAACATATTATTACATTACAGTTTAGTAGTAACGACTTTATGAATTTCGTCAATGAGAAAAACGAATGCATCAGAAATACAATTGTAAATGATCATTGTTACAAAGGGCCTTGTATTTAGCACTTCAGGTCATAGATTTATATTAGAAGTGTTTTCTTACTGAGAGTTGACATATTCAATGACTATGGACCGTCAACGCCCCCTTGTGGAATAACCGAGTAATTGTAATATGCTGGAAAGTGCGTTAGTTGTTGTTATGAATCCGTAGTGTGGACTGCGGAGCCCGATCTTATTTCATTTGTTGTTTATTGTTATTTGTGGATATTGTCGAGTATGCTGGGAAAAGTGCTTCGTCACGGGTCCGATCCCCAGTCTGACCAAAGTTAGGTAAGATAACAAAAGTGAATAATATGACTTCTGGATATGTTCTTATGCCTTTCTAACTATTGAAATGTCTTTGTTATTGATTAATAATTATTTTATCAATGTTAAGTATTGATATATTGGTTTCTATTTGTCTTATAGAACCACAAAAAAGTACACCCAATAAATACTCAACAAAACCTTTGTCATCTTCATTGCGTCCTGGCCAGATGTATTAATTTAACCCGAGCCACATCGGTCACTACATAACAATCATAAAATACTCTTAGATCGATTACAAAATTACACTGGTGTTCAGGGACAGGCATTGAGATGGTTTAGATCGTATCTATCAGACTGTTACCATTTTATGTACTTAAATGAGGACAAATCTAAGATAATGTCAGTAAATTATGGAGTGCCGCAAGGATCGGTGTTAGGCCCTCTGCTATTCTCAATATATATGCTGCCACTTGGTAATATTATAAGAAAACATGGAATTAATTTCCACTGTTATGCCGATGATACTCAGTTATATATTTCATCACGGCCAGATGAATTCTCTAAATTGTCCAAGTTGACAGTGTGTTAAAGATATGAAATATTATTATAATAAAAAAATATTAAATTCAGCTAAGACTGGGGTATTACTTAATAAATTTTTTTCTTTAAAGAGTCTGTGAAAGAAAAAGTGTCTGATTCTGAAGATAAAGTGAGAAAACTATTCAGTGAAAAGTTACCGTTGGATCACTTGAAAATAGAGCTCGACTGGGCTCATAGAACTGGGAAGCCAACGACACCTTGAGAAAAGCCCAGACCCAGTGTGGTCAGATTTCTGCGGCTTAAGGACAAACTTGCGGTTCTGGATAAAGCAAAACGCTTGAAGGGCTCAGGCATTTTCATCTTCAATGAGGTCTTCTCTGAAACCGTCCGGCAAAGAAGGAAAGATCGACTCCCTGCAATGAAGGCGCTCGAGAGAGATTTGAGTTATGACAAACTATTTTTTATTTTTTTTAGACAACTATGAATTTAAAGTTAGGGATGATCTATGTCCGGGGGTAGGATCTGTTTTTGTGGAGCTCTCTGGGATTTTTGGTGAAAAAAGTGTCATTTATCGTTCACCAGATTCTGTTGTCAGAGATTTTAATGAATGTCTATCCAGTTCTCTTGATCTGATTAACTAGGAGGATAAACTTTGTTGCATTTTAGGTGATTTTAATATAAACCTTTAAAAAAAAAAATTCAGATGCATTAACTGCAGATTTTCTCAATATACTTTATTCTAGTTATTTTTTCCCTCTCATTCATAAACCTACTTGAGTAAAGGAGAATTCAGCAACTTTGATTGATAACTTTTTAACAAATAATTTGAGTGAAGGAATGAAATCTGATGGAGTTTTGTATTTAGATCTGTCTGATCATTTCCCTATATTCCAATACTCGTTAATCAAGTTTAATACAACTAAACAAAAAAAGAAAAAGATGCTTAAAAGAATTATGAGCAAGCTGAATGTTTCTAAATTTAAAGATATGCTTGCCGGTACTTCATGGAATGACCTTTGCAAAGAAATAAATGCTCATTTTGCATATCAATACAGTCAGGCCTTTAGTAAGCCTTGGTTTACAGTTGACTTGTTGAAGCTGCTGAGGAAAAGGAATAAATTGTACAAAAAATAGATTTCTAATCCCATGGTGCTTATACTGTACATCTTGCAGAAATAAATATACGTATTACATTAGATCGTCAAAAAAGAAATATTTCTGTGAAAAATTGATACTAAAACCACATGGAAAGTAATAAATCAGTTGTTGCATAGAGATAAGACTCATTCAGAATTACCTTCAGTTTTTTATGAAGGTCACAATTCTTTTAATAACTCATTTGATATAGCTCAAAAATGTAATAATTCTTTTGTTAACATTGGACATGAATTAGCCAGTAAAGTTCCTGTTTGTAATGGTAATCCACTAGATTTTATTATAAGGAATTATCCTTCTATTTCTTTTTTCAGCCTCCTGACGTTGTGATATTATTGATGAACTGAAAACATCTTCCGCTGGCCATGATAATATTTCTTCATTCCTGGTCAAACAGATCAAGCAGTTTATTTTGCAGCCACTGGTTTTCATTTTTCCACTTTCTCTGAGAACAGGAGTTGTACCAGACGATTTAAAAGTTGCCAAAGTTATTCCTCTGTTTAAAACAGATGACCCTTGTTGTTTCAATAATTATAGACCCATATCCATATTGCCTTGTTTTTCAAAAATATTAGAAAAAGTTATATACAAAAGGATCTTATTCCATCTTGATTCTAATTTAATTCTTTACGGTTTCAGGAAAAGTCATTCTACATATATGGCCTTGCTTCATTTGATTGATAAAGTAATGAATTCACCTGTAGTATATTCGTCGACTTCTCAAAAGCTTTTGATACAGTCAACCATCATATTTTATTGCAAAAATATAGTTTTCATGATGTCACGCTTGAATGGTTAAAAAATTATGTTTCAAACAGACAACAGTTTGTTTGGATTAATGGATGCTATTCCAACAAAGCCAGACTACCTTGTGGGGTCCCACAGGGGTCCATTCTTGGACCATTATTATTTCTTATTTATATTAATGATTTATCAAATATTCTTTTTCCAATAATGTTTGCAGACGACACAACTTTAGTTTATTCTCATTCAAATTTTAATTTTCTGATTAAAAATGTAAGGTTTAACTGCATATGCTACATGGTTCAGATTAAATAAGTTATCGCTGAATACAAAAAAATTATAATTATATAATTTTTAGTGGAAAAAAATCATATTCTAAGGACCTCTCACAAGTCAAAATAGAGACTGTGGAGATATCCCAAGTTTCAACAACACGATTCCTTGGAATTTTTGTTGATGAGAATTTGAATTGGAAAACACAAATTGATTGGGTTAGCAAGAAAATAAATAAATCTATTGGTATAATTAGAAGGATTCGCAATCTTATTACCGCAAATTGTCGTCTTACACTCTATTACAGTTTAATTTATCCATATCTTTCATATTGTAATATAGTTTCTTACGTGCAGATTCAGATTTAGGGGTACCAAACTATAGAACAGCTTTTCCCACCTAGCAGCAAACTCCTCCTCATTAACATGTTACGAAAAGCCCATTTAACTGCTGTCTTAAAATTTTAATATAGAAATTATCTTACCTTTATGTTATGATCATATTTTTGTTTGTATATTTCCATTACTGTCATTGTCATTAAAATTGGTTGATGTTATGTGTATGTATACATGTATGTGCATGTGTGTATTGTGTGTGTGTTATGGATATATGTATCACTAGTTTGTTATTACTTTTATGTAGTCAAATGTTATTTTTTATGTTCTTTTTGATTTTATTGTAATTATATCTATAGGTGGAGGCGTTAAATAAGCCCATTTGGTTTGTTTTTTGCCTCTTCCTGCACATAAATTGATAATATTTGTCTTATTTTGTTTATCTTATGTCTTGTTTATTATTATTATTAATGTCATTTTTATGTAATTGTAAAAGGCCAGGTTAGAGGATAATTTGCTGATCTTTTTGCAGAAAAATCGTGGAATAGAGTTATTGTAACTGATACTGAATATGTCATGCAAATGTCAAAATATAATGGAAATGCAAATACATTGTTGGATGATTATAAACATGGTATTTTGCCTGTTTATGCCTAAATGTAACTAGCCCCTCTAACAGGACAACTGGCCCCAGCTTGGCCCCCCAGTTGAGATGGTCTAGAACCGCCACTGCTAATTAGTATCATAAGACTCAAGGTTTGTAGATGAACGCATGATAAAGATCTATGAGTCAAAAACGGTGGTTTTGCCAAAAATAAACAAACAATGACTGTCTTCAACACACATCAGTGTGGATACATGAAAAGTACCTGTTGGAATATTTGCATGGATTGAAAAGAATTGCAGAGAGTCAGGAACATGAAGCCAATGGTGTTCACCAACCTTCTCTACTTTTACTTACAAACATCAGCATTTATTCAGGGTTCAGGAGAGTGTGACAGCCAACCAATGAGAATATACATTACATTCTTATAGAATGTGAGACAAGTCCATTTATGGCCACTTTTCTAAGTAAAGAAAGAGGGACCCTTTCTAGGCTGCTTTCCAAGAAACACACTGACATACATAGAGTGTACATTAAAACAGATGTGTGCAGAGAAGCTCTCTCCACTCCAACCCCTGAAGCCTCATAGACCAAAAAGGAAGAAAACAGGGTGAAACAGAGACAGAAAAGTCAAGTCAAGTCAAGTCACATTTATTTATATAGCGCTTTTCACAATACAGATTGCATCAAAGCAGCTTCACAGTGATAACATGAAAGTAGTGTGCATAGAAAAGTCAGGCTGATTAGATTTATCTTACACTACCTTTCAAGGAAAGTCTGTTTTTTATGATCAAATGGCGTTAAAAAAGGAACTGGAGCTTCTAACGGCAGTGACTTTACTAATCAGCGATTGGCTGGGGCGTATTGTGCCATATTGCACGTCGCAGTTTCTCCCATTCATAAGTAATAGGAGTGTTTCTATATTGATCAAATCCATGTCACCATCATTCACTCACCGTAATGTCATGCATTGACCATCTTCTGAAAGCTCATATGCGCATTGATTCCAGGTTTGTACATGAATCTTCCCTCGCCACAGATCTCAAATGCAGCTCTACCAGTCGTTCCAGCCGTCTATAGTAACCAAACCATTGGTGGACCCCATAGACTAACAAAAACATGGACCTTATTTGTGTTCATCAGAAGAAAGAAATTCATAGAGGTTTGGAACAACTTGAGGGTGAGTAAATGATGCCCGAAGTTTCATTTCTGGGTGAACTGTCCCTTTGTTTAAAGCACACAACATGTAAATCTCTAAGTCGTGGATAACGTGCTGATGACAGCTGAAGTAAAAGCGCAAACAAAGACTCGTTCATTGGAATCTGATGGAAAGGAGATGTGCGAATGATTGGATTGTCAAGCTACAAGCATGAATGCAAACACTGTGTAAACAACCTGAACTCGTTTCTGCTGAATCCTGCGGTCGGATTCTTCCTCTTCACTAGACACGAACTCTGGATATTTACACCAAACAGAGCAAATGACAAACCACATCAATCATAGAGTTTATATCAGAGCTGGTCAAACACACCTCCACCAATCTGCTCAACATCACTGAGCTTTAGAGTCATCATTACACCAACATCTGTACATGACTTAACCATGGAGGATTTAAAATATCCCATGTTCATGGCGATTATTATATATTGGACCTTACACCATAGTTCAGCCAAAACTCATCATTCTGTCATGTGACTTTCTTTCTTTCTTCCGTGAAACAACCTTTTAAACAACATTGAAACACATTTGTGACACTGTTTTAACCACTCTATATATTATGATGATTTTATGTATATTAGAGTTATAATAGTATTACATGTTGTCTTAGTCATTTTAGTCCTCTTATCTGTTTTAATGTAACGGAAATGAGGGATGGACAATAAACCAAGTTCAGCTTGGAAAAAGATTAAAGAAGATTAAAGAAAATAGTCCAACGCCGTGGTACAGCGAGCACACTCAGGCCCTTAAGAGAGCAGCCAGAAACATGGAGCGCAACTGGAAGAAAACTAAACTAGAGGTGTTTCTTTTGGTTTCGGCGCTCAGTCCTCATAGTTGGAGCAGATGAAGTTGAGTGCGCGAGCTGGAGGAAGGCTGACCCAGCGCTGATCTCCTGCCGTCTGCATGGCTCCGACTCTCCGCTCGCGGCTGCAGTCTCGCGGTCCGGCGCCGTCGCCCGCCGCCCAGCTCTGGTAACACACCACCTCGCCCCGCAGCCACAGCCACATGTCCATGGCGCAGTAGTGGTGCAAACCCATCCACACGGCCGGCGTCGAGGCGTTTCTGGCCGCGGTCCTCACGCGCCGCTCGATCTGCTCGCTGGTGACCGACACCAGGTCCACGTGGTTCTGTCTGCAGTATTGCATGGCTTCAGCCCAGCTCAGGTTCTGCTTGACGAGGGTGAACTGATCTGTGAAGTGAATCACAAGCTTGAGATTGAATTCTGATCTCAATTCTGTATCTGTATCTTTCAACATTCCTTCTGATGTTCATTCATGTTTATCTGGTGCTGTAACTAGTAGTAAAGAGGCACTACAGCAATACAGCAAAGTGATCAAACTGACAGAATGTGAAAGCTGAGACTTTGTTTCAAATCAAAACTCACACAGCTGATTGTGATTATTGGATGTTTAGTGAAGTTTTGTTCAAGCATCAACTGAAAACAGCTTCTTAAAGATTGATTATTGAGAATTGAGAATCAACATCACTTCATCAAAATCGCTATTTTTAACTGAGCCCAAATAATGGCGTTCTCTTATTTTCCACATGCGTGGACTCACCTTCATAACAGACGAATGGAAACAGTGAGACACAAGGCCAGTCCTCCCACTGTCCCTTTCTCTGTCCAATGAACACCATCACTGTGGCGTTTTCAAGGGGTCCGTCGGGTTCGCCAGATGCCCAGTTTCTGAACGACGAGGGACTCTTATCGGACCATTCCCATGGGTCTCTGAACAGGCCGATCCAGACTGAACTGGCGTTGCTGGTGTTCACGAGCTGCTGAATCAGCTGATTCTCCTTCTGGTTCCTCACGCTGGTCAGATCCACATGGTTCGCTCTACAGAAGCTCTGAGCGGATCTCCAGCTCTTCATCTGCAGCACAGGGACGAACCCTTTAATGGTGTCTGCATGCCAAGAGAAAATCAACATCATGTGAAAATACCCCTCATTTAGTGTTCCGGGTCAAAAATGACCCGCCTTTTAAATCTCTTGTTATGCTTTATTATCATCCAATATTGGGTTCGATCTTTTAGTCAGTGCTTTTTCTTTCAATTAGCACAGATTTTGTATTTCATCCTGGATCTGACTGATCCTAGGCCTCGTTGATGTTTTGAAGCTTGATTGAACTCTTTTCGTTTAAAAATGGATGAGCATGAGCTCGGATCAATGAGACCTAAGATTAATCAGATCAGCAAAGAAACACAAAACCTGTGCTAATTGCAAGAAAACAAGAAAGCAAAAAGATTGAATCCAATGTTTGGTGTAATGAATGCTGATTCTGCCCTTGTAATGATTGAGTGCATGAAAGTTTAATACTGTCAGAATGGTTTGTGTTGAGTCTCTCACCGTTGTAGCAGATGAAGAAGTGCTGTGCTGTGCAGTTATCGATACGCCACAGTCCGTCCTGGTCCATGTAAGCGCAGTCCAGGCTTCCGCTGGTCTGGTTCGGCGCCCAGTTGCGATACAGTGAATGGTGTTTGGTGTAGAAGGCGGGATCGCCCAGAGACCAGCTCCACTCACTGCTGACAGTCTTCAACAGCCCGATCCAGAAGTCTTGATCCGTGATCCTCAGCAGATCGCTCAGGTCTCCGCTGTTGCTGACGCTGGCCAGATCTCGGTAGTTCTGACGGCAGTATCGCTGAGCTTCGGTGCAGTTCACGGACCTGCGCACAAACTCATACTGACGCGGAGGCGACGAGCTGAAGGCGACTGCGAACGGCAAGAGTTCATTTCAGACAACAACACATTAAATCCATCAAAAGGGACACTTTTCAAATACATGCTGTTCTTTGGAACTTTTTTTATTCATCAAACAATCCTGAAGAATAAAACGTGTTAGTTTCCACAAAAATCTGAAGCACCACAATTGTTTTCAACATTGATAATAATCAGAGATGTGTCTTGTGCAGCAAATCAGCATACTATAATTATTTCTGTAGTGGTTTTGTAATAATATCTCACTGCATTTTTGATCAAATAAACGCAACCTTGGTGAGCAGAAGAGACTCTTTCAGAAACCCTAACACATCTCACTGACCTCAGTGTATTTATAAAGAAACAGACACACATCTGTACCTGAGAGCAGAAGCGTGATCAATGCAGCGTCCAGGTCCATTTCTGAGGAGTTTGTGTCTGATCACTATCAGATCTCTCTCTCTTACTCTCTCTCTCACTCAACCCATCAAACACCATCCAATCACACATGAGACAGGCTTTATCCACTGCCACCTCTATCTCTGTTGCCCTCAGAGGCAGTTATGACAAACTTCATGACTAGATTAGCATCTGGACCTGATGGGATATTAAATGAAATGCTTCAATGCGTTTGTGATTGCCGGTCACGTTTCTGATTCAACTGGATTCAAGGACTGATAACAGCCATCCTCTTTATTAATGCAGATCAATACCATCCCAATAACTTCAATAAACCAAAATAAGTATGGTTATGGTTATGGTTGGACACGGTTTTAAGCACAATGGTTGAAAGCTGTAAATACAATCACTTGCTGCTTATTACTTTTGATCAATAGGCTGACACCACATTGATCTGGGGTGGTCAGTGTTGGGTGACAGTGACACACATAAAGTTTGGTGTTAAAATATACAATCTTTACACATATACAGCCTCAGATGCAGTTTGGCATTACGCCATTGGATTCGTTGATGTGGTATACAAAAACGATCTAGGAGGAGTTAAAAAAAAGTAACTTTTGAAAGAAAATCAAAATGGCTGACAGGAAGTTTTGACATTATTGGTCTTGATGTTGGCATGATCTAAGGAACCTTTAAAGACATGTTTCATTACAACAGGCTAAATTAATCAAAAGCTATTGGCGTTTATCACATATTGACCATATAGCACCTAATGACCATAACTAGCACATATACTGACCATAACTAGCACATATACTGACATGACACATATACTGGGCGGGGTCGGGGGGGTCAGAGAACCAGTCAGTATCTGATGTGACCACCATTTGCCTCACGCAGTGCAACACATCCGGTGGCGGTCTGCTTACTGCAGTGGGGGAGAGGGAAGAACAGGTTCGAGACAGTAGTCGATTCCAAAAAGATTCGATTCAGACTCTTGTGTGATTCAGCTTGAAATGCGAGGCTTGAAATGTCCGTGCGTGATATATTACAGTGCTCATTTCCTCGATTACAAACCCTGAGATAGCCATTACAGAGAGTAGTGTTGATTTTGATTAATCCCAGATTCCCAGTATAGCGATTCTATTCATCAACTCTCAAATCTCTGAACACGTCTAGTGTGTGTGTAATCAGAAAAATCTTGTATCCGAAAATCTCTGAGCATCTCAAGCAGTGGCGCCTCCAGAAATTTTTCATAGGGGTGGCCAGATTGGGCCACTTAAAAGCTTGGGGTGGCACACCAAAACTATAAACCATAATTTCAGAATTGTATTCTACTGTTGTAGTAAACCGGCCTGTAGAAAACTATCAGAAAGGCTTAAGGAAACTCCTACTGATATACTTTGGTTTATTGTGTTATATTCAATGTTAGCTTACTAATGATATTAGGGCCCTACTAATATATATTATATTATATATAATGATATATATTATATATATATTATTGTAACTGCCCTCGGTGGGTTTAAGCAAGATGGAGAGAGTCTCGACTGATGTCTTTACGGTTTTCTTTATTTTTCTTTTCATATCCGTAATGCACCGTGAAAACTATAAAAATACACAAATCCATACAAACATTAGTACCTTCATACACATTTCCTTAATTACTAGTGCTGTGTTGAAAAAATCGATTCACCAATTCTGAATCGATTTTCATATTAATTTCTAAAGATCGATCCGTAACTCAGAGGATCGATTTTAATAGGTTTACATTTTCCCCGTTAACTTTAACTTGCCGCGACTGGGAGATCCCTGTATGCGCATTGAAAGGCTTTCACTCAGCGCGCACATTGTTACGACAACGGGCTTTGAGTGAGTCATTAAACCGTTCATTCAACGAACACGTTCAAAAAAGCTGATTCATTAAAAGAGATGTAATGAAACAAGGTGTTAATTATTTTTTAACTTTGAGTTCCACTTTTCAAGGCTCAGCTGAGCAGCAATGCGTCGCATGGGTAACGCTGAAGCTGATGCTTCACTTATTAGAGACCAATATGGCATTGATTCAATGCGTGACTCGCTGATTTTATTTCCCCGCGGCTTCCTCGCGCAGTGGGATGCTGACCAGCGCTGCTGCTGACGCGCATTTATGGTAAATACCCGTGACGTGAACGTTAAAAGGATGATACGACAAATATTTCGCTTTCCTTTGACGGCAACCTTTTTCACGAATACATATGACTTCAAAGACAGACGCAGGTAATCGCACGCGCTCTGCCGATCTCTCTCATTCACTCTCTGTGCGAAGCCTCTGTAGGCTACACATCACCACGATAAACAGTCTTGTTTGTTATCATTATGAACTTGTTTAACATTCAATACACATGCATGAAGTTCAAAACAAGAAGGGTATAGCCTTATAAAAAACGTGAATATCGCGGTTGCTGCGGTTACTTGCAATCCTCTGCGGTTACTGCTGCTGATACCTCTGCGTCCTCTGTCGTCTACACCAGTGCAAGTTTGTGAAAGCAGTTGTATCAACACTCTGGAAGGGGGATTGTTCTTTACAACCATCAATACTCCATTAATTTGCAGTTAAATGTCTATAATAATTGTATCAATATGTTGCATAACTACAGTCCTGTAATTCAACAGCTGGAAAAAAAATATGCTTTTTTCAAAAACACTTATCTTAATCTCGAAGATCGGATCGGATCGAATCGAATCGAATAATGATAATCGATTCAAGATCTTGAGAATCGGAATCGAATCGATTCTTGAAATTTGAATCGAAACCCAGCACTATTAATTACATCAAACATTCTCACGCAGTAAACCTAATTAAAATACACCACTAAACAACTAATTCTTTCTTCCAAGATCTACATACATGACACCATAATCTTTAAAATCGCACAAAAATGAACATATCAGGCAAAATGGCTCTTTGTCAATACATATTTAAACCACTTACAACAATAAACATAAACACTTCACTCCCGCAAGCACCCATATAAACAACTACACATACCTCGTTCCGCTTCCCAAGGGCGTTAAACCAATCCTAGCAATTTCCTTTGTTCCTTATCCCAAGTTTGGCGTCCTTACTGTGTGCTCCCGTCCGTTCGCTCTTAGTTTGTTTATGAGTTTGCGATAGCTGTAACTCGTGAGCATGGAGTTTATCTAGGGTTAGGTTTTAGCCTAGTGGCAGAAACTACATTGCCCACTAGTGGACGTCACTGGTGCCTGCGTCGAGTGAGGTGCTCACATCTACACCAAAATCTCAATAAACATCCTTCATAATATACAAACTTATACATTTACACTCATTAAATCAAGACCCCTTTAAATGACTCCAAGCGGACAATTACAATTATATATATAAGGGCCCTCGCCCCGCGGCAAATTTCCAGATACTTACATAATTGTGATGAATTTAATCCTTTTTAAGTTATTATTTTGCAGTGTAAGATTACAGTTAACACCTTTAAATATTACATAAATGTACTATGAATTTTTAATAAACTTAATGAGTGTATAAATCAGCAGCAAAAAGTAATTCTTGAAAAAATCTGCACAGTAATTTTATAAAATCTAAATATGTTAATAAAAACAAATTACTATTAGTTCTCTTCTAAAATTCAATCAGGCAATCATACATTTCACAATTTTATATATATTAATGTCAAGAATTCAGAAGTGCATATATAGCCTACACTACAAAGAAATAATATACAATTAAATTATGCTTATTTTAAATGTATTGAGCAGGCTAGGTATAACAAAATATATTGGCTTTCAATAATATTTCAGTGCTCAAACCCATGATAACATGAAACACAGAGCGCACACAGCGTGTATGCGCATCACGGGTGCAGAATGATGTGCTCAAAGCAACATGGTGACTCTATGTGTGCAGCGCTGCGCTGCTTAAGTGCGCATTTAAGAGTTCACGTCACAAAGCGAATAAATGTCGAGCGCACAAATCCTAGTGCGATTTGTTCCTTTGTTTCAGTTTTATATTCCAGTTATTGTGCGTTTGATGCCGATTCATAGTCCTTGTGATGTGTGTGTGATGATCTAGCAAGCACACGGTAGTGAGTCGTTTAAAAACAACAACAAACTCCAACAAAATAAAGTAATTTTATGCAAATCTACAGCCTTTTATCTACAGATCATGCATTATAATGTGAATATATCATATTGGAGAGAGTTTTACCGTGCATCCAAGAGGCGCGCGCGCTGTTTGAGTATGAATGGAGAATGATTGACAGCCGCAGAGGAGGGAAAACGAGTTTCCATATACTTTAATGATGTAGATGTCTTTAATGATGTCCCTCACATTAAGCTATGGAATGACTTCAGATGACTTTGTCACCCAAACTGACGTAAAAAAAGCGAGAGGCGCCGAAAAGCGCGCTGTTTGCATCCCTGCTTGTCAAAACGTGGCAAAGACACATCAAAAAGCTGCAGTAACAGTATACTGTAACCATTGGCACTTAAAAAGCACATCACGACACATAAATGCCTTGTCTTCTTTTACTAAAGAATATTTTTGACTTATTTATGAAATGCATAACTGATTTATTTTGGCCATTGGGGTGGCCAGGAGTCGGCCAGGGGTGGCCACGGTGTATGGACATGTACGAGATTCCCCACGCTTGACTGGGAAACGGGTCCGACACCTGAAGTTTAATTTAAGTTTAGATATGATTTTGACTCGAGTGAGTCGACAAAAGAACAGGCTGTAAACCCTAATGTTGTCTTTACTTAAACAATCAAGTGTACTTGACTAAACATTAGCTACTTAAAATTTTGCATTTTGGCTCTGTCACTCAAAAATATAAGTTCAAATAACTTATTTACCTTCAAAATACATAAACTTAAGATTTTAAGTGCTGTGACTGTGAAATTAATACATACATGCTTTCTTCAAGTGCAAGGTGTCATTCTTATTTTACCAGAAAACAAATGGCTTTCATTATATTACAATTATTGATCGTAATGGAAATAAACTGATTT